ATAAATTCGCTCCCGAAAGATTCAGCGAAGAAAACAAAGATAACATATTACCCTACACTTATCTACCATTCGGTTTTGGGCCCCGAAAGTGTATCGGCAATCGGTTTGTTCTTATGGAAACTAAGATCCTGATAGCTCATCTTTTACAAAAGTTTACTTTGAAGACTACGGAAAAAACCGTGGAACCTATTGTATTCTCTAAAAAGGAATTTATGTTAAATCCTGTTAGCGGATTTTGGATTAGCTTGGAGAAGAGAGAAACGTAAAAATTTTGCATAAGATATATTATTCTACAATATATAGAATATAGCAGTAAAAAATATTATCGTATTTTGTACTATTAAAATACTCTATGCTTTTAAACAAAATTGAAATAATAAGATCTATTTACAGTATATTATCTTAATATTTAAAGCAAATGCATAAATCGAATGCTAATGTCAATGTTAAAATAAATTTTTGCTAATGTGAAATGAAAAAATTAATGTTATAATGAATATTGTGCTTTGCTTGGACTATCGAATTTATTCGATTGTTCTGATCGTTCTAATGACTTATGAAATTTCCATTATCCATCCAATAGTATGATAAACATAATATCGTGAACTTTAAAACTTTAAGAGCATATTTTTATAGCACAAATATCTATTTATCTTTTTTACATTTGAGACAATTCCTTTTCTTATTACAAATTTAGTAAAATTTAGTACAAATTTACATTTGCTAGTTCAGATTTCCTTATAATTTGTTTTAAATTTAAACAATACAAGCATTAAGGATAGAAATTAAGCATTTATATAGCTTATTATATATTTTTAAAAAATATAAATAATATCATACGCACACATTAATTGAGGCATTATGCGCGTATAACATATAAATTTGTATCTTAATTACAATATAATATTGTTAGTATTTTTAAAATTATAATATCTGTTATAATATTTTCATAAATGTTCTAAGAAATCATTAAAATAAAAAGTTACTCTTTTGACACAGAATTATTTTATGAATTGTATATAATAGTATCTCAGTAAAAAGACTTTATAAATATTTACGCTAAATAAACGTTAAGAATCTTTATTTCTCCGAGTGATCTTATTCTCCGGCGTTCTCGTTCTCTCTCTTTTTTCCTATCTGCCTCCCCTCACTTTTTCTCATTATCGATCTGTCTTATTCAAGGTTAATCGATGTCGATATGGCCAATTATATTTGGATTAGGATTAAATCTTGTACTTATTTGTATCATAAGTTTAACACCAAATGCATTTCATCTAATTTTTTATGTTGACTTCTTATAAATGCTGAAGTTTAA